GTTAAATATTTTGGATGGGAGTTACCATTCCTTCCAAGATGTCTTATAACCCAATTCCTTGAAGATATAAGATATTTGGCCTAGCAGAACATGACTATTTATGATCTTTTTCCTGATCTAGCTGCTGGCAGGGGTATAAATGTCTATGTTTCAATTCTCTATGGTAACAAAAAACCCAGAATCTAATGGTGGTGAATCTGGTGAAGCGGCTTTCTATGGTATCCACACCGAATACACCGAATACCATGCCGAATGCCACCCCTAATATCGACTCTAATATCACCCATAATATTGGCCCTAATATCAACCCGAATATCACCCCCCCGAATGCTACACCGAATGCCACATCTAATGAAATCTCTATCTCACAGCTGGTCACATCCTATTCAATTGAAATGGATAACTACTTTACATCAGTTCCTTTATTCAAAGAACTACGTCAACAGGGGTATGGAGCATGTGGAACCACTCATTCAAACCAGGTTCCAGCAGTACTAGATGAGCTTTGAGAGCATTCAAATTCCATACTCTGAAATACTCTGCATGTCATTGAAAAAGAGAATGTTCTCTGTCTTGCCTGGCAAGATAATAATATGGTATTGGCACTAACTACGATTCATTCATTGGACGCAGTTATTGAATGTACTTGTAAATGCTCAGGGGAACTCTCAATCAATGTCAATATTGTTAGAAAAGTCTTTAAAGGTCAATCACAAAAGAAGCTAAAAATCCCGATTGATTATAGGTGATTATAATCATCATATGAATGGGGTACATCTAGCAAATCAATACTGAGCAGCATATACTAGTCATAGAGTCATCTATCACACCTGGCTTTGTATTCTCTACTGACTTATTGATTCCGCAACTATTGATGCATACCGGATTCAATATCTATATATGAAGCAGCAGAGGATTTCAGTGAAGGATCTTTCTTCTCATATAAGCTTTCATGAGAAGCTTTACCAGGAACTCTTTGAATTCACATCTAGGATTCATGATAATCTATCAAGGGAATGATCAAATTCTAATCTAAATCATCAACGGATTTCTCTTCCAAAGCAGCGTGTTTGTGCCTGGTGTCAATATAAATGAAAGATTGGCCAGCAGAAATATAAAAAGATAGGGAGATCAAGTTCTGACTGTTCAGAGTGTCAAAATACCCTTTTATGTTTGAAAACTCAATGTTGGGCGGAATTTCATAGTATATCCTAATATCTATTTACGCGGATCCTTAATTAGGGTTTATATATAACCCCTAATACCAATGAATACTCAAAAATACACTGATTATTCAATGAGATCTCGTATAATATACACTAATGAAACCACGCTAATTTTGCACAAACCTACGGACGAGGAGATAGTTGAAGCCTCATTCTTGGTGATGCTTTCATTTATGTTGTTGTCTGTGCTCTTGCTCACACTTCTGGCCATTCTGGGACTGCATGTGCTGTTGAATCTGATGTGGGTTTCACCCTGCTGGCTCTCCATCTCTGACTCCTGGTTGGACGGGTTTGACGTCCAACGGCTTAGGGTCCAGCGTGTTCGACTAATGTTTGTTTTTCTCTGTTTAAAATCACTCCAGAATGAAGCCTTTCAGTTTTTTTATATATTTTGCTATTTTTATTTACTTTGTTGATCTAGTAACCCTAACCGCTCCGTTGCCTGGGTGAAAATATAGATATTTAGTTGGGTCTGGTTGGGTTGATGGCTTACCCCATCAAACATCGCACCTCAACTCATTGACTTTGACACTAAAATTTAACCCCTTCCCGGCGGAATTATCGCTTTTGATTTGGATATGTTGTATTTCATATCCCCTACGAAAGTACATGCAAAGTTTGAAGTCAATTGACTCCGTCCCTTTTTATCGGCCTTCAACGTCTGAAACCAAATGGAATGTACGTCCAGTGGG